TCCTGCATGCTGCCGTAAGACTGCTAAAAAGACTCTCCCACAGCAACTCCCTCTTGACTGTATGCCACTACACTGCCACCTCTGCTCGGTCTGTCCTGCTGGTGGTACACAACATATCCAGGCATGGTATCTGAGACATTGTCCATCAGGTATGATTCCATGAGTATGACTATGTTGCTTGACTAGTCTGGGAGCTAGCTCTCCCAATGTTTGCACTAGCCCCTAGAAGTTAGTAAGGATGACTTTGCATGGTCAACAGGGCTGTTTCTGCCATTGTTTTTCTCAGTATCTTAGTCAATGACAGGTAGTCCAACTGATTTCATTCCTTTTTCCAGTGATTGATACAACTGCCTGGCTCACTGGGCCATTTCGGAGGGCAGTTAAGAATGAACCACGTTGCTGTGGCTCTGGAGTCACACTTCGGCCAGGCACCAGTTTCCTTCTCTGAAGGACATTAGTGAACCAGTAGGGATTTTCCAACAGTCGACAATGTTTCCATGGTTATCATTAGACTATTAATTCCAGATTGTTACTGAATTTCAGCTTTCACCATCTGCTGTAGTAGGATTCAGACATGGATCCTGGAACATTATCTGGGTCTCTGGATGACTGGTACAGTGACAGTACTGTGGGTCATCACCTGTCCTCAGTGGATTTGCCACTAAAACCAGACATACCAACTGTTGCCATTTTGTTTGATCAGAGCTGATTTCTCAGTGAAATCAAGCCTTTATCACTATCTCACAAGAGAGCTCTGAAGTCTTGGCATTTTCACAAGTTCCAGTATCCTTAAGCCAAATACCAACTGTTAAACCCTTTGTTTGGCTGTCTCCAGTGTAATATCTGCACATTTCCACTGGAATTAGAATTGAAATGTAACCAAGTTAATAAGCTATTACTCTGCATTTGCTTTTCAATTGCTGCTTGGAGAAGCAGGTTGAAATCGAGTTATTGACCCTGGCTGCTGCTTGGTGACTTTGTTACAGAGTAGGTATTCAAGGGCCCAATGCTACCTTTGGCTTCTTTTCTATATATTGTGCTCAGCTCCCAATCTTTCTCTGAATGAAATCTAAACATTTTTAAAGAGGTATTTCATGATTGTTAAATGCACTACACACACATTACAATTACTGAATTATCTATTTTTCTATACCCAACTTTTGCATAAAATTTCCATAATATGCTATGTTACATTTGCAATAAAATAAAAATATTTTAAAGTAACATATCTTATAATATAGATCAATTTATAATCCATTTTAAAAATTTAATTAGACTTTAATTTTGGCTGTACTTCTATAAATTACAACGGTAAAATATTGAACATGGTTTTTCTTCCAAAATATTCATGGGAATGCTGGACAGTACAGTGGTTAGCACTGTAGCCTCACAGCTCCAGGCACCTAAGTTCAATTCCAGCCTTGGATGACTGTCTGTGTGGAGTTTGCACATTCTCTGCGTACCTGTGTGGGTCTTCTCTGGGTGCTCCAGTTTCCTCCCACAGTCCGAAGATGTGTGGTTTAGGTGGATTAGCCATACTAAATTGACTTGCAAGTGTTCAGAAATGTGCAGGCTGGGTGGGTTAACTATGGTAAATGTGCATTATGGGGATAGGATGGGATGCTGTTTGGAGGGTCGGTGCAGACCTGATGGGCCAAATTGCCTGTGTCTGCACTCTTGGGATTCTGTGATTCAGTACAAGGAAGCAGTCCTGATGAAGGGTTTCGGCCCGAAACGTTGACTTCCCTGCTCCTTGGATGCTGTTCTAAGCTGCGGTGCTTTTCCAGCTCCACATTTACTGATTCTAGCTTCCAGCATCTGCAGTCCCTGTTGTCTCCCATGTCGCAGAAAACCATACTGCAAAGTCTCTTCTAAGGATGCCCATCTTGAAAAAGTTTTCCTCCACCCCCCGCCACCAAAGAGAGCTCAATGAGTTTCTCTCCTACTGCAACCCCCTAGTTATCTCCTCTGCCCTTAAGCTCTTCAACCACATTCTGAAATAATCCTGCTGCTACAGCCACGTCTCCTTCCTCAGCACCTGTCTACACAGCCGTCTTATTCCTCCATGGACTCTAAATAGCGTTCAGACCATCACAATTTGGACACAACCATGACAACTCATCTACAGGGCCTCCAGAAAAGGTTCTCCCTGCAGATTCTCAGCTCCATGCTCGCAGCTATGCATTGACATCTTCTCTCCCTGCAGTCAGCCCTGCCTCAGCTCAGAGCTTCTCTTTCCCAGACCTACAGAGGACGTCTAATGTTCTCTGTCCTCAGAAGGATCCACCAGTCTGGACGTTTACTTCCTTGCTCCTCGAATGCTGTCTGACCGGCTGTGCTTTTCCAACTGCACAATATATTGATTTTCATGTTCAGATGACGAAATGCAGGATCATTCATGTTAATATATTAAAGTTATTAACAGCTTCCTGCTGTTAGGAGGATCCTTATTGATGTATCTGAAGTGCCACCGATTTTCTTTTTATACAAGTGATCCCCTCGGAGACCCAGTCAGAGCCAGTTTGTCCTGAATCTAGATGTTGTTGTCACATCATCATTTACAAGTGAACATATTTTTATATATTTGGCACTTTCACTAGAAGATATATTTTGGTCCTTGTGATACACAAGTGCCATCTGTGCCTTGGCTTCTTGAAATTTCTTTGTAAAACCTATTAACTGTACCTGAGCAATAGAATAATTGACTCCTAGTCTCCTGTTCAGCCTACAGGATAAGGGAGACAGTTTAGCAATGTTAACAAAGGGAGTCAATGTACAAAGTTCACTTTCCAATGTCCAGAACTGCAGAACTGACAAATACAGATGCATTGAACTCCCTTTCCTTCCTTATAGAAATGTTAAAGCTGCCTTATCATCAGCAAATCATCATATTTTGACCTTGTGTCAGAGAAGTGATGTGCTGCTTCACACATTAGCTGTATTACAAAGACAAGAAAAGTACTTTGGTTAGAGATAACAAGGTGTACAGCCGGATGAACACAGCAGGCCAAGCAGCATCAGAGGAGCAGGAAGGCTGACGTTTCGGGCCTAGACCCTTCTTCAGAAAAAAAAAAGAGTGATTAAGAGAACATCTCAAGATTGTAGGTTCGGAGTAAGTTGTGTCCAGAAGATTTCAGAAACAATCGTGCATAATGAGTGACTTGACGATACATTCCAGAACATCACAGCAACAACCTCTGGACTATTCTGTGCTTTATCCTTTTGTCTTCAAGTACAACTCTTGGCCACAGTGTTTTTCTTGTTTCAGCCAACCAATCTCTGCACAGATTTTGATTAGACTTTTGATAGTTTGATTAGACTTTTTTTTATTCTTTCATGGATGCGGCAAGGTTACTGCTACTGTTGCCTCTGACCTCTTGAGGTCTGTCTCCCCCCACACCCACCCACCTTGTGAGAAGCTTAATAAAAATACCTACATCCTTACCATTCTATCCCCCAAAGAGTAGGATCATAGAAACCATACACTGTACAAGTAGGCTATTTGGCCCATCAAGTCGACACCAACCTTCCAAAGAGCATCCCACCCAGATTCACCCCCTACCCTATATTTCCCATGGCTAATCCACCTGGCCTGCACATCCCTGGGCAATATAGCAATTTACCGTAGCCAAATCACCTAACCTGCACATCTGGACTGTGGGAGGAAACCAGAGCACCCAGAAGAAACCTGCATAGGCACAGGGAAAACGTGCAAACTCTACACAGACATTCACCCAAGGGTGGAATTGAATCTGGGTCCCTGGCACTATGAGGCTGCAGTGCTAACCACCATCTCTGATTGTTCACCACATACAACCAAGGCTGAGGGAGAATGCACTGTCTTTCTTGTCCCACAACTCATAGATTGCCATTTATTTTTCCAGTTACCAAGATGACCAATTAAATACCTCATGTTTGAAATAGAGATCTGTCAGGTTTCTTAATAAACATAATTACAGGGTTTATTATGATGCAGAACAAATTTAATAAAGATACAATAATTGGTTAACATACACAGGCAGTAATTAAGGAATACAAATATCCTAAAGACACACACACACACAATCTTTATGAAAAGAAGCAAAAATAGATTTCTCTGCAGAGATTGGTTGTCTGAGACAAGAAAAACACTGCGGCCAAGGGTTGTACTTGAAGACAAAAGGATAAAGCACAGAATAGTCCAGAGGTTGTTGCTGTGATGTTCTGGAACGTATCATCAAGTCACTCATTATGCACGATTGTTTCTGAAATCTTCTGGACACAACTTACTTCAAACATACAATCTTGAGATGTTCTTTTAATCACTCTTTCAAAAGAACAAATGAACTGATGTAAAAGGTTTTCTTTTCAGAAATGAGAGATGAGCTGGGCAGTTTATTCAGGGCAAGCGTTCCTCCAGCTCAGCTTGTTCATAGTAGGGACTTTCCTCCAACTGGCCTAAATAAAACAGGAACCTTCTCCAATCCAGTCACAGGTCTAAATTGCCCCAGCAGTGTCTACAGCATAGCAAACAGTTATCACAAGCTGTCTGATTTCTGGAAGGTCTTGTTAAAAATTCTCCAAGATGCATGGTAAACCTGCACTGACCTTCATTAAAGATACCACTGTAGATATGTGCACAAAACCTGAAAGACCTGGAATTTCCTGTTCTTTAGCCAGAATTCTGCTGGAAGTACCACCATAAATGAGAGACAACAAGGTGCAGGGCTGGATGAACACAGCAGGCCAAGCAGCATCACAGGAGCAGACTGCCCTGCACCTTGTTGTCTCAAGCCTCTCTGCTCCTGTGATGCTGCTTGGCCTGCTGTGTTCATCCAGCCCTGCACCTTGTTGTCTCGGATTCTCCAGCATCTGCAGTTCCTACTATCTCTGATTCAATTTTACCCCCACCATAAATGAAGTTTGTTCTGTACTTGCCCCCACGTTAGAGCAGCAGAGTGAGAAATTCTCAACTGTTGCATATTTAGTTAATATTGCATATCTGTTCTTTTGTTCCAAAGGGAAAACTCCCACAGAGATGATTCTCCTCCTCCAGGGAGAGGTGGCTGTTTTAGCGATGCCCCCAGTGCTAATGGACCTTGGTGAAGTAAGCAAAGGTGGAGGTAAGCTGACACCAGAATTCAGTCATTAATGCAGAGTATCATAATTTGGACCTGGTTAAGATTGGTTGTTTCGACAATAGATGATGCAGTCTGCACATTTTTGTTGCACTTATAACATGAGGTTAAGTTCATCTTGCACAGACTAAATGGTAAGACTCTGATCCCATAGCAACAGGAACATTTCATTGACACATTTTCAAAAACACCATGAAATTTAAAATTGCAAAAAGATGGAGCAAAGTAACTGAAAATCAATTTGTTCTTGATTTTGAAATCTAAAATAAGAGACATACAGCTCTTTTACACTATCCCATTTGGATCAAAATGAATTTACCAGCTGTTGATTAGGCTGTCATTAACCCTCAAATGAGTTAATTAACTGCTTTTTGTCAATGATCAAGGAATAATTGAGACCACAGGTTGCACATTAGTAATTAATTTGTTACAAATCTTGATTTAACATTAATATTGTGCATTTAATGTTTATTTTGTATGTATAAGTGTTAGTAGAGTTATCTTATATTTGAGGTTGTAGAACATTAATGATATGCGGTAATCAACAAAACGAGAAGTATAGGCTCCACAGGTTTTGCAGTGTCTGACTATAAATCAATACTAATGGATGTTGAGTATTAGTTATACTGATGACCAGAATCTGAGGTTTTAAACTGGTACGGTTACTTAAGACTATTTTTCTAAAATAATTTTCAAAATAGCAGCTTTAAATAGCCCGTCAAATAGCTGAAGTAATCAAGTATACTTAACAATATGCATGATACACACAACCTTACAAGTGCTGTAGCTGGCTCATTTGCCTTTCTCCCTGAACAGCAAGCATTTGCTTCCAGGGTGATAAATTGAGGAAACCCTTTGCGCAGCATTAACTGTCCTGTTTGGATCTTTAGTTCTATAAGACCCTATCCAACATATGAGTAATAACTACTGAACTGATTTTAGCTTCACCTTTCCTAATCTCAAAACTACTCTTATCACTACTTTATACTGAATAAGGTGCAACTCCATTTAATTCCAACCTGGATAAAGTACAGATAAGGATGGCTTTTACTGCACTTCAGTAAACATTCTTACAGGAGCTGTTTCAAGGAAATAAAGTCTTCCTTCAAGAGACTAAGACAGAAAATGACAAAGAAAACCACTACCTTAGAGCGAACTGTGTGTCATAAGGCCTGATTACATGTCTCATTTCAATTATCTGTTCAATTCTGATTTGATACCTTAAGCCAATGGTAGATTGGCACCACTTTTACAATTCACACTTTTTCCACAACACTTGGTTTTCACGATTATTGAGAATAGTGATCTATTTGAATCTCTTGATAAGTGCTCCTTCCCTGGACCTGATCCAGGGATAATAACTGCAACCAAATTGGTTCAAAGCCTATATTAATTACTCAACTCGGCCTTCATTTTAACAGCTGAAGACCTCCATTGACGTAAGGGTGTGACAGTCTTTCCTATCCCACATTTGTGGGTGTCCCACAATCTCTCTCCACGCCTGTCCCTGCACGAGTGTGACTGTCTCCCCCTTTGACTGACGCTACACCAGTGTGACTGTCTTTCTGTTCACCTGACCCTGCACAGGTGTAACAGTACCCCTCCTCACCTGTCCCTGCATGAGTGTGACTGTCTCATCCTTCACCTGTCTCTGCGCGTGTGTGACAAGTCTATCTTCACACCACAGTGGATGGTTGAATGACTGTATTTTTCTCATCATTCCCATATTGGATCCACAGGGAACCAACAGAGAGGAAACCTTGACTTTGTGGGGAGAGTTTGGAACTCAGATTGTACAGACTTGGCAATGAGAGACTGCCTGCTTTATTGCTTAATAACAACAATCTCTCCTTTTGCTTCTCTTCCAGGTGTTCCTGATTCTTTTTTTTCCAACTGGTTTTCACCAGTTTCTCCAAACTGAAGTGCTTGATTCTGACATAGGATTCAATCAGTGATTTTATAACTAATATGTTGACCTGATGACATTTGAAATTTGAAGCTTCTGAGTGAATGAGCAAAGTTTTTAATCACTGGACACCACTATCTCTGAGCTGGAAATCGAGGACAGCCCAGTCGCCACCAGCAAGAGGTAATCATTGTTTGCAGAGCTGATGCCTGAATGGAGGGCCAGTCTGTAAATTACAACCCGAACAACCTCAGTACAGATATTCTTCATATTTGTATTGTTCTGCTGACCAGAATGTGCTCAATTTACAGACAAGACTGTTATACACTGAATAAAAGCTGAAAGAACTGCAGATGCTATAAATCAGGAACAAAAACAGAAGTTGCTGGAAAAGCTCAGCAGGTCTGGCAGCATCTGTGAAGAAAAATAAGTTTTGTTAACATTAACTCTGATTTTTCTTCACAGATGCTGCCAGACCTCTAAGCTTTTCCAGCAACTTCTGTTTTTGTTCCTGTTATACACTGAACTGAGATTTGAACAGAGCCCAGCTCACTTTTAATGAGAGCTTTATTTCAATTAGCCACACTCCATAAACTCACACTGCACTGATTACTGACTCCCCATATTTATACAACCAATTCACACTCAATTAACTCTTCATTAGTATATCCATCACTTATTACCTCATTCCATTAGGTGTCAGACATCCCTTCACACCATACTAGATGATAACAAAGTCTAAACCTCATTTTTAAAGTCCCTGCTCTCCATTACTTGTTCTGAAAATCCCCCTGTGTTATGTCTTTAACTGCACCGGGGTAAGATTACAATGTAGAATTGTACCAGCACTTCAGATTTTCAACTTTCATGGGTTGTCAGAGACTCTCCTGCAATTGAAGATTCATCTCTGGGACAAGATGAAAAGAAATGAAGGGTCAATAATGAAATTAACCAGTCAGGTCTCAGAGAGTTTGATCACTTTCCTAGTGAAATGGGAAAGCAGAGTCATGTAGATTGACTTATCAAATGACTACTGAAGGTAGTATGGGAGTGGGCCTAGATGGAGGAACTTGGGTTTTTTTATTCTTTACTCGTGGGACATGGGCCCATCCCTATTTGTCCTTGAGAAGACGGTGGTGAGCCGCCTTCCTGAACCACTGCAGTCCATGTCAGTGCAGATAGACCTACAATGTCCTGAGGGAGGGAATTCCTAATGTGGTGAAACTTTTGGAAATTCATTCAGATGCAGCAGTCTCGAACATGAGGTCGTGCAGCTCCAAGATCTTCCCCATGTTCTGCATCCTTGTGATGTGTAGCCATATCATCATAATTGATCTGTACTTTTGATCCATTTTCATCCTTCAACCAATCCACACATAGTAGATTTACTGCTATCTAAGACAGTGTTTCCAAAAATTCTTCACTTGCTGGCCATGTTTTGAGGATTCAAAATTGATCCCTCAATGAAAATTGTAAGAGTGAATTGTGGAGAGGGGCAGGTGGGAGGAGCTGTGAGATGGGATGGGAGATAGAGGACATTGGGGAGCTTACAGACTGAAATGGGAGGTTGGTGAGATGTTAATCTTCATAGATTTTTGATTAGCTACATTTTCACTTGCATCTGTAGAGCAGGAAGTAGGCTTTAAAGATTGGCCAGTTAGGCCATGCCTGCCTTTGAAACAGTTTGAGGATTTAAAGGGGCCTCCCAGCTGTTCAACTGGAGCTCAGCTGTAGCCATTACAGCGTCCGAGCTCAAAACTCCGGACTTGGAGCTATCCACAGTTTAGAAAGCCCTGGTGTAAGGGATATTGATGGTGGCTTCTTTCGTCCAACAAAAAAAAAATTCCACTTAGAGGTTGTACATTGGGGGGGTAATTTTGACAAGGCTCATACTTATCAAAAGAGCCTTCAATTCTCTTGAACTCAATATACATGTAAGTTGGAGATGTCTTATGGGTAATTGATCCAGTTTCACCCAGAAATCAACATCTCTGTGTGGAGGGCACTTTAAGAAGTTTGTCAGAGACTTGTTCCCGTTTTAACTTGACGGATATCCTTTATGTGAGCAATAGCAAAAATGCTGAAGATATTTGCTGAGTCGTAATTATTGACTGCATTGCTGGAGCCATAACTCACAGGGATGAGGAATGAATGAGATTTTGTTCAGACTTTCCTTAAAGATACAGCATTGTTTACTAGACCAGCCATATTGACTGCAAGGTGAGGGCAGTACCAGTCATAGTCCAATCATTCTCACTTGGAGGTGACACCATCCTGTCAGTCCAAATGCCCTATCTCCACTGTTTTATCATTGAATGGTATGTAGCAGAACTTTACTCTGTACATGCATGAAATTTACAGTGTTTCAACCTCATTGCAGTAGTCGCTTATAATTGTACTCAAACAGATTACCAACACTTCCTACAGAGGCCAGAATGTGGCCACCAATCACAATCCTTTCAATTTGTTTTTTTGCACTGAATGTGTTGTCCTGTTTCCCACTTGCTTAGAGAATTGTAAGTGGCCAGAGTACGAAGGAGTCTTTTTCTGTAATAGAGTCTTTGTTCAACATGCACTTGTCTATTACTCCTCTACCACGAATTAATGCAACTTGCTAAGAGTATAAAGCTCAGTAATGCCCTATGATAGTTCTGTATACCAGGGTGCTTGACAGAGGTTTGAACCATTGGAAAAGGTGTAAATAACTATGCTATAGAGTAGATCTCTGAGCATTCTACTCAGAACGTGTGATTCTTGTTCATATCTGAAATAAAAAGTTTTTATAGAACTTACATGTGTATTGCTAATTTATTCCAAATGGGAATTGGAGATATTATGACTTAATTTTAAATTCTCCACCGTACCATCTCAGTAAAAAATGTAATATTGATATTTATGAAAATGGATTAAAAACTAAAATGGGCCAGAATTTGAAGACATACTAACAATTTATGAATAATACAATCGTTTAATAATGTGCAAATTGGTGACCAACTTGTGGCAAGAAGAGATACCCCATGAATTGTAAATCACTACATGTTGAGGAATTCATCCCCCATTATCTTCATGAAAACTGCCCTCACACTTGACCTTCCTGTTGTTATGGAGTCACTGTAATTGCGTATTAATTGTCCATGAAACTCACCACAGAAAGTAATATCTGTTAATAGTGTCAGTACCCTTTTAACAAAATGACAACATAAACTTGTGAAGTTTCATTCCTTCTGCTAATAAATTGGTGTTATTAAGGATATCAAATTTTATTTAAATGTTATTTTCCAAGCTGTCTCGTATATCTCTCTCAATCCGGTTTTTTCTCTGCCTCTCCATCTTCCTCTTTCTGTGCATGATTTGGCATTGAACTCATCCCCTTTATATTTCCCTCCTCCGTGTTCTCTCTGTTCATTTCTCCATCCCTAAAGCTTATGGGTTAAGGTGAGACACTGTTTGTCTCGTTCACAAAGCTCCCAGATGTGTTGCCCTCAAGGTGGTGTCATTGACTTACACCTTCAGCAACTTTATGGGGAAAATATTTTTGAACTAAGAGGTGCAGGGAAATGTTTAAGAAATGAGCTCCATCACTTAATGTTCACAATGAAACAAACTTGAGCTTGCAGCTTAACGGTTAGGGAACCAGGAGTTAAATCTTAGCCAAAATAAAATGTGAGTCTGGGTTGTGTCAAGTTTTTTTGGATGGCTATCCATGGTGAAGCCTTAGAGAGTTCTCTCACTGGATTTTACAAAATCTGCCAAATTAATTACTTATCCTGCCCCTGTGGCATCCCCCTCCAATTTCCAACCCATCTTACTGTTCCTGGAGCAACTTACCACTCAGTGTTCCTGACATTAGCCCCAGACAGACATGTGCCCCACCTTGCATGCAGGGACCTGAAAGTACCGCTGGAGGGGTGGCGCAGATGGGAGACTGACTGCTACCTTGCACCCACTCTATCCCTGACACCATGCACACCTCCCACCGAGCCTCATTCTCTACCTTATTCTCACTAATCCTCCAACGTCTTCCCTCATTCACCCCAATGTCTGACAGCACTAACTTTGCATGCTCTCTATGCTGCCTCCTTACTCGCTCAGGACACCTCCCCACCTGTACCTACAGTAACAGCTGGACCACCAGCCTTCACCCCCTTAATACCTGCCTCTGCCTCATTCCTAAAGGGAAACTGCCCCCAGTACGGCAGGAAGAGTCAAGACAGGTAATGTGCAGCTCATCGTTAAGCTCCTTACCCGTTATGAGGAGATGGTCCTGACTCTGACTGTGCTGAGCAGCCCAGGACTGGTATCAAACACTGCCCTTGACTGACTATATCAGGACCCCTGAGCAAAGGCTGTTCCCTTTTAACTTGACTGAGGTTTGCCAGCAACTATGGCGAGCTTCTGGGCTTTGTGTCTGGCTGAAATGGCACAGCAACGATGTTTCCACGTACGGACCTTGGATTTTCACACAGAAGGAAATGAAGTTACAGGTATCGTAAGAAAGCAAGACAGCAGTAAATGGAGCCTGGTGTCTCAGACTGAGACGACCAAACATAGAAAGACAAGGGTACAGCAGAGATGCTGTCAGCATAAGGTGCGTGCAGAATGAGTGTACGCTGTGACAGTGATGGAGGAGCCTGGTGCAGTCCATGAGCCGGTGGGATAGGGTTGGCGGGGTGGGCGCAGTCCCTGAGCACATAGTACCTTTGCTGCAACATTACATTGAGAGTTTGGGGCAGCCTGAGGAACAGAACTGAAGGGCAAAAGCATCCTGTAAGTGGGTCAGAGATGTGCCATGAGGGTTTTAGAGGCTGGCACATATTGGACACCAATGTCCATGGAAGTGGGGCCTGTAGCCACTGACCATGAAACCTGCCCGGAGGCTTTCCAAGATGGTGAGGTCTGGAGGAAGAGGTAAATCGAATCCATCGTATGCTTGCTGTGGTTTCCTGGCTGAGTTTTTTGGTGTCAAGTTTATTTGGCGAGTTTGTTAAGATGGGAGGCTGAATATTAATGAGGCAAGTTGTGCCACTGACAAGGTGTTTAATGAGCAATGATGACCATCAGTTGACGTTGCTACCTCATGACAATCTTGCCACGCAGCCGGTGAAAAGCGAGTTGGTTCCAATGCTGAGATGTGCCTTGCCTGTCTCGACACCAGATTCTGCCATAAATCTCACCGTAGCCCACGTCATTCAAATCCCAATAAGATCATGCCCTATTGAACTGTAGAGATGGGAGCATGGGAATTCATTTCCAGCTCATTTTTGAGGCTGAACCAATGGAGCTCAGCTGACTGGGTGTCAAACTGATGCAGCAATTGAGGGCAGCCAGTCCCTCCACAGTTCATTATCATTACTAACCAAAGCATATTTTGCTGTTTGTTTGGGTGGTGAGTCGTAGTTTTTATCAGGCAGTTC